TATAACATTACAGATTGGGTTGTATCCTTTAAATAGCTATACTGACGGACTCTAAAAACGCAACACACATTTTGATGATATTTTTTTACTAAATCAAGATTTATTCTCATATAACTACTATTCATGCTTACCATACTTCTTTCTGTTAAGAAAAATCCAATACCTGACTTACATGAGGTTATTGAACATACCGGATTACTGAAGTCGCACGAATTTCTTAAAAGCGAAATTTGAAACCCATAAATGATTTTTGAAAGTTTTTTTTTCTTCGTCGTAAAACAATTCTTTCAATCAATACCCACACTTAAATCAGTAAAAAAATGTTGCATTTCAATATTGCTTATACTGAACAATAAAAGTCTGAATCAGACCGTATAAATTTTGTAAGAAGGAATACGTGAACGTGCTGTTGCAAGACAATTTCATGTCAGAAACTCCTCTAAATGTCCTTACACCAATGGTACAGGCACACGGGATTTGTTAATGACCACCGATATGAATCAATATGAAGTGACAACGCCTCGTCAATAAAATTCCATTACGCAACGTCATTTGCGTGACAAGAATAAGAATAAGAATAAGAATATTTTATTTTATTAGACTTCACGTTAAAATGCCAGATTTTGATTGGCTAATACGAGGGAGACAATTTACTCTATCCCATGGCTTAGCGGGAGACAATTTTTTGAATGTCACCCTCTCGTGCAGACCAATCAAAAATCGATAATTTAAAGGACAATAAATTGAATTTACATCAAATAATTAAAGCCAATACTCAAGTTCTACATTTTGGCTCAGAACTTTTTTTATAGACTGTCAAAATAAAAAAAAAAAAAAACATCTTGCTTCACTTCTGTAGATTTTTCTAATATCTGTAAGGTTATAATGTACGTGACGTCATAGTAAAATACTTTAAATTTAAAATTCAATAGTAAAATGATAGGACATTCAGTATAATAAATTAAATAACACATAGCTGAGAGGGTGATAGAGCAGATTGGTACCCCTCGCAAAAACAATGTCAACCTTGGCTTCGCCTCAGTTGACAATGTTTTCTCGGGGTAACAATCTGCTCTATCACCCTCTCAGCTATGTGTTATTTATATAGAATCCATATACATATATATATAGTATTAATTATACAGTAATTTTTAAGATATATTACATTAAAAATAAATGATTAAATAACTATACTTCATACCAGATGGTGTTTGAGACATGATTAAGACAGCAACGTCAACTGCTGATCAAGTCGTCTAATGCCATGGCAGACAGTTTCACGCCATAACTGTTTCCCATATTCTGAAATGCCAAAAAGTCGACTGCAGAAAAAAAAATTAAAGCCCTAAAGTTTAAACCGCAAAATTGCCAAAAACACACTGTAATAGATGAGACGAAATCAAAAGGTACAAAACAGAACTCAAAACATGCCCAATAGAACTGGTTGACATTTCTTTCAATCCTTCAGGTGTTGGTTACAGACAATCTTTGCCTTCGACGGTGACACATCCATTGATAAGGGGAAAATCAGGGTTTGCTCACCCGCAAGAAATTTTTCAAAACTTTTACTGCGTAAGATTTTGAGTCTGGTACGGATTTTTTTTCGAACTCACCACAACTCACGCCATTTTTGTTTATTCCTTAATTGTATCATCAGAAACACATACAATTCTAATACAGGACCCAGTTTTTTGGTTATGCATATGAAATGTGCATGCACCTTTAGATCTAGCATCTACGTCTATCTGCTTTCTTTTCAATACTTGATGTATATACATGTACTTTTAAAATGATTCATTGGTCCAATTTATGGTATCAACAAGCCCTGTTCATATTGGCAGGCGATGTAAGAAACAGAGTAATGATATTTGCTTGCAGGCTTTTTCTTAAAGCCTCATTATTTTGAAATCCATGTTCTCAATTTTGTAAATACTTTTGACAGTTGCTCCCTTCTTTTACAGAGTTAAAATTTTCGGATGCTCATATCCCAACACCCTTTTAAAAATTGTGTTGTAATTTTAAGGCCATCTTCTGCCAAACTTGAACATCCGGTAGTAAATAGGATATAAATATCAAATAAAATTTTAATGCTTAAGAAGTGACATTTACATTTCAAATTTAACTCAACTACTCCACTACTCTATACTACTCCTGTCTCTAAAGTCAATCAACCAGTTTCTTATCTACTAGTATATCTTCAAAAGATTTCATATTTTACAACGTACTGAGACATTTTTTTTATATGTACAATAAAATTCAGCTTGAGTATCATACTTTTTGTTAGAATATACTTATCTTTTTCTACTTCCAGTTGCTCTTCAGTCATTTGGAACATCATTTAAAGGATATATAATAGCAGCTAAGGACAATGCAACCAGAAGTTTAAATCTGGGACGTTTTACGGATGCTGCTACAGGCAAAACCATAAATTGTGGTTCTTCGGTAGATATACTACTTAAAGAAAGTTTTGCAACACTTTCCTTCAGATTAATGGGGGTCAAATTGTAAGCGCTTATATCTTTGTAGATAATGATCAAAATTATTTGAAATTAACAGCATTTCTATTTTAAGGGACGTTAAAGTGATTAAAGAAGAAAAAACGGAAAAAAAATATGAACTGTTTGTTTCTGTTCAGAAGTTTCCATGGTGCTATCAGATTTATTAATTCGACAATTTTGTGGGTTCAATGCATTTTCAATTAGACCATGTGCAAAAAAAAATTAAATTGTGATAGTTTGCGAACAGTGTAGCTGTCTGAAATATGACCAACATAACTGTAGTACTTTTGAATACGCATATGATTGAAAATTAAGAAAACACAAATTTGAAAGATAAATCGAGATTTTGTTTTACTCAATTTTCAGTAAGAAGTTATGTTCCCAATTTTTGTTTAGTAGTAAATAATAGAATTGTACCTAATAAATTTGTATCGTAGTTTATCGATTTTAAAATGAAAAAACTACAGAACTTTAAGTATACAAGAAGAAAGAAAAATGTTAAATACTATTTATCAATGATTATAAAAAAAACATGTATACTAATTGTCAATACAAACGCAACACACCATATTGCAAGTTCATTTAAGTATCTTTTTTAAAAGAAATTACAAACAAGTTCTTTTAATGCATTCCTTTTACACTTGGATACACATACACGTTGTCAATCCGGTCTCAAATTTTCAGTTCCGAAGTTTGTCATAAAATTTAGTCTTATAGTATTTAAAAGCAACACGCACAATGATCACATTTTCTGGACCAAATGGAAATGATAATTTTTAAACTGAATTAGTCTTTTTTTTTATAATTATTGCTATGAAATATATTGTTGTTACTCCACTTCCAAAGAAGACCTGTTTGTTAGAATCTTTTCAAATTAAAAGGAAAATACGTAAGTTTTGCTTTTTTTAAGACTCAGTATATATTCATATTGTCTCATAGGGTGCTGGGGCAGTCACTCACCAAAATAATCAGCTAAAGTCCACTCTACAGTTCAAGTGGGAACCGACGGCTGATACAACTGAACCTATTGTTTTTATGTGAGTAAAAACTAAACGTTAGTAATTAATATATATGTTTAGGATTTGGAATTATTATTTTTGCGTCATGTCAGCTGACTTTCCGGGGAAGAGGCACAGAACAGCCTGTTTTCCTCGCATGAAATGTTTATAATCACTAATTTCGCCTCATTTACTTTGATACGGAATCACCCCTGAGTCCTTTTATTAAAACTGGATTTGGTTTATTATTTCTTCATGTTGACTTAAATCATGTTGACTGGGTCAAAGGCTTTCCAGAAACAACTCTAATCTATATTAGAAAGGTGATCATATGGATAGTATAATATACGATTTTCTTGTACTTGTTTCACACAGAGTCAATATAGAATATAGAAGGGTCATAGAAACATAGCTGACCTTCATTACTAAAAGTACTAGTTCAAAATTTACGTATTGTCAAAAATCTAATTCAAAATATTATTCAAATATATGTTTGCTGCCAAACAATAGGAATTTTGGTGTATTTGTTTAATTTAATATTTAAGGACATTCAGAACCAAAACTATTTGTTATCATTGAAAGACAATATTAATGTGCAGTTTTAATACTAGTATATGTCTTCCGAATTGAAATGTTCTTTCTTATCATTTTAAGATAAAAATCGTAAAAGCAGGCATTATCTATCAAAATTAAAGTTTTGTGTAAACTTTTAAGTATTTATTATTTGATATTAAATTTTAAGAAATATAACAAAATTGTTGTCAAAAACTTTGAACATATATAAAAGAAATTGTGATTCAATCAGTTTTTGTAAACGTTCAAATGCAGTGGAAAGGAACCAATTCATGAACCAATATCACGGCGCACACTTAAAAAAACAAAGCAAAAGAACACTTTAACTGCTGTTACTCATCTCGAGAAAACAGTGAGGCCTTTTACAGGAAACAAAAGATATCACCTGCCTGTACATTCAAGACGGCCCATTACATCAGTTTTAAAAATGAAAACATACACTTTATAAATTTCATGCGTCCGACGCGCTTTTCTGGTTTTAATTCAACAGGAACGCTCAAAGCCGAACATTTGAAAGCCAGGGTGGAATGTATAAGAACCGAGACAGTTAAGGCCTATATGACCAAAATGGACCTAAACATAATAGCCAAATACATCTAAGGTCAACGTTGCCTGTTTGCTTAACCCCTGCTTGTGAAATGAATTTTATGCTACGTTAGCTCTTTTTTCTGTCAAAAGATCACTAAAAAAAATACCCAACAAATAAATGAAAATCTAAAAATTGTTTCAACTTGCATCTAATTCCTCCAGCAAAAGAATAGGATATTTCATTTCATATTTTGTCCTTAAGGAAGTTGCATTGAAATTATGTGTATTGACAAGATAGGAATAAATCAACAGTAACAGATCATATTTTCAAAGTAAAACTGAATCATATGATTTTTTATAATTTTTTAGAGCAACAGTTGTGGAAGTCGAGATATCCTTCTGGATGGATATTACCACAGAAGTAGTTACTCCTGAAATACCAGTATCACCTTCTCCAACAACAAATGTATCAACAACAATAGGAACAACAACACAGGTAACTATATATTATAACATAGGAACAACAACACAGGTAACTATATATCATAACATAACAACAATAACACAAGTAACTTTATATTATAACATAACAACAACAACACATGTAACTATATATCATAACATAGGAACAACAACACATGTAACTATATATTATAACATAACAACACATGTAACTATATATCATAACATAACAACAACAACACAGGTAACTATATATCATAACAAAGCAACAACAACACATGTAACTATATATTATAACATAACAACAACAACACAGGTAACTTTATATTATAACATAACAACAACAACACATGTAACTATATATCATAACATAGGAACAACAACACATGTAACTATATATTATAACATAACAACACATGTAACTATATATCATAACATAACAACAACAACACAGGTAACTATATATCATAACATAGCAACAACAACACATGTAACTATATATTATAACATAACAACAACAACACAGGTAACTTTATATTATAACATAACAACAACAACACATGTAACTATATATCATAACATAGGAACAACAACACATGTAACTATATATTATAACATAACAACACATGTAACTATATATCATAACATAACAACAACAACACAGGTAACTATATATCATACCATAGCAACAACAACACATGTAACTATATATTATAACATAACAACACATGTAACTATATATCATAACATAACAACAACAACACATGTAACTATATATCATAACATAGGAACAACAACACATGTAACTATATATTATAACATAACAACACATGTAACTATATATCATAACATAACAACAACAACACATGTAACTATATATCATATCATAGCAACAACAACACATGTAACTATATATTATAACATAACAACAACAACACAGGTAACTTTATATTATAACATAACAACAACAACACATGCAACTATATATCATAACATAGGAACAACAACACATGTAACTATATATTATAACATAACAACACATGTAACTATATAGTATAACATAACAACACAGGTAACTATATATTATAACATAACAACAAAACAAGAATGGACATCCCCACTTTTGTATTTCCAAAATGCTATTTAAATGGTGTCCCCTAAAGGATATCAATATGTAATATTCGGTAAAGAACAACATGTGTAAATGTAAGATCTGCCAGAGTGAATATTTAACCAAAGCTTCTCATATAATCGTATTTAGACAGAGTTGTCTCATTGGCACTCATACCACATCTTCCTATTTCAATATATTTAACTTCTCCACCTTTTTAACAAGTTTCCTTCATTTAAAACATTAAGATAAACTGGAAGAATTAATCCAATTTTGTCACAATAACAAATAATGGACAACCTAATTACACACGTCTTGTTTTGACGAAGCACATATCCTACTCTGTGTTATCTAAATGTTTTCTGAAAATAAAGAAAAAAGATTGAAAGTTGAAAGAATGCAAAAAATAATGTATCAACTATTATTGCCTTCAGTGGTCCTTTCACATGTTTTATTTTTTATCTGTATACATAGGATACGAAGTTTTGATCTTATGGCATGCTGAAAACATTTATTCATTTATGTATCTCTTTATTTATTGATTGATTATTGTATTGTTATGATGTTACTGTCAATATTTGATATTATTGATGATGAATTATTTTGCATTGTTTTGATTAATTTGGCTACTAGTTCTGGATATGTGTCACCGGGGAAACTGGGTGACTTTTAGGGTTGTGTAACAAGAGCCTGACTGAATGGCCTCTTGTTACTGAAACACAAATAAAAGATCAGTTAATAAAACATTTAGGCTTTTGTCGTCAGATAGTAACATCAAATATATAAGAAACACCAGCTTCTATAAAAGCTGCTCAAAATAGATTAGGTAGAATATAAGGAAATGGTAGTTAATATGCAAGCTTTCCCAAGTAGTTTCGGTATAATTTTTGTTTGCCCAATGAATGTGTTTTTAGTATATTTGATAACTTTCAGCGGTATAATTTTTGTTTGCCCAATGAATGTGTTTTTAGTATATTTGATAACTTTCAGGTAGGATTGTATGAATGGCTAAATTATTGAAAGTATCCCTTTTACAAATTCGTAGGGGCACTCATTTGTTACCATATAATTTTTTAACATTTATGTAATTTTATCTCTGATTGTATACAAAATTTCACTCATCTCCGAGAATGTCTTGGGTTATAATCTGACAAATTCAATCCACCACAAATTCAAAATCCACATTATTCAGCTTCCTCAGAGCCCTATGAAACCTTTGTTTCATCCTCTTTTATTTGTAACTATAGTTCCAATTGGATTGGTGTATTTTCAAGCTAATTTCACTTATGATTTATGTTTCACTCACACTTGGATACAACTGGCTCTAATCTACAATATGTACCCAGGAGTTTACTTACAATAGGATAGAACAGGACTTTGAGTTATGTTGATATGAGCACTAAATGCTTACATATCGTGAGTCAAATGGAAAGTTCTGAAAGAGATCAAGAGTAATTAATGTATTATAAAATATTACTAAGACCTCATTATATGTAACTATAAAGTTTTTGACCATTGACACATATTTCAGTATAAGTTGAAACTGAGGGCAGAGAACAGTTTTAAATGTCAGGTCAAAAGGTTTTGTTGGATGTTTACTTGGCTGGTACATACTTTTCATTATGACATAACATACATTACACTGAACAGAAATAGATAAGCATAAATAACAGACAATTAAATAAGAGTACAATATCACAATCATCAATATTGGCAGTAGTAGTTTACCGATGTTCATGCATCATAAGTCGATTAAGAAGACATGTCAAGGTAACAAATAAAAACTGAGGGAATCGCATCAACTCCAAAAGAAGAGAGACTGGTTGCGTTGACAGCGTAATCGTCTCCTATTATGCATGCATCACCGGCCATGCGAATACACACTCAGTCCAAATGTCACAATCGGAAAACTACAGATTAGACTACCATATTGGTATCTAAAGATTTAAGCCTGCGAAAACATGTCGCAAGTGAATTGAGACACATATATTTCATATCGGTCAACCAATTCGTGATGGTGACCGAAAAACAAAACTAATGTAGTGTCGATCTCAATCGTTCTTTCTAAAACATTGTTAAAGCAGTTTTTGTGTAAGGATCATACCTCAGCTTATCACGGCCTTGTAGCATGAACATGCACGAGCGTAACGTATCAATGGAGACATTTTTCCAAATAATTTTCGTGTTTGTTCTCATGTTGTTCTATTACATCACTGTTCCAGGTTACGGTTGGGGTTGAGTTCTCAAAAACACGTTTAACCAAAACACATTCTTAAAGTGCTTGTTCAAAATCAGGAGCTTGTCATTCAGTGGTTGTCATAAGTTGCTGTCTGTCATTTTATTGGTTAATGTTTTAGCATAAATCAGACCGATGGTTTATAACATCAAACAACTAAATGACAAATGCTTATTTACAAAAAAGTCTTCGGTAGAGTAAAAGATAAACAAAGTATATTTATTAAAGGTATTTGGTTATTTTCAAGGTACCAAGTGGTTCCCTTCCAACTGATTCTGAGTGTGGAGCTACGAAAGGATGTTTTATAGATTGTACTGGTAACTCTTGTAACTATATTGTAACCTGGAGAGATAATGGGGATGCAGTGGATTTTGAACTGTCAACAAAACTACAAGACACAAACAATAAATGGATTGCCATTGGCTTCTCGAGCGACCTAAAAATGGTATGACTCACAATTCGGCCGAAATTAGTCTAGGTTTGACTATCAATTGAGTTGCTTATAAAGTTTGTACTTTGATTAAACTTCACAAATGCAATTGCTTGATTATCAGTTTTCTTCTTTCCTTGAAAGTAAGCATCTTCTTTGCTTAAAAGAAACCATATACACAATGCATATGATCAGCCATAGAAAAATCATATTCAATACTTATTATCATATTAGTCATCCTCATTCATGGTTCTGTTTCATTTCTCACGTTTTCAGATTATCTGTAGAGTGCGAGACCCATATTCGCCGCATAATTCGTCCATTTCCACTTACATCCGACCTACATTCGAATATTTGGAACTTTTTATGAAGGTTTCAGAAATTTAACTATATGAAAAAAATGTTTGATAAAGAAATTATCTTCAAAACATTGGTTATTGTTCTAAAAACGAACGCAAACTCAAGAGGAAATCAAGATGTTCGTGTACCATGGGGGACACATTTTCGCCGCAATGTATGATATGACCATCCTCATTATCCTGGTATATTATAAAAACGAATGTTTGCAATTACATGAATTAGCTTGAGAGATCATTCCTATACGATTTTTCTCACAAATATATACTTTAAGACTGCGCATGATTGCCATATAAATCTTACATAATTGCCAAAATCATTTAAAAACACCTGCGTATTTCTCAATATGTGCGAATAACCTTGGAAATGGGGTAAAGAGGAATATCAACAGTTGTAACATTACAAACAGCCTTTACCATCTTTTTAGGCAAGTATTGGGTAAAGGCACACAAATTTTACAGAAAAAATAGCAAAACGGCGAAAATGTGTCCAAGGCGAATATGCGCCACCCACTCTAGTAGACTATTATGGTAAGCGACAGAAAATGGACAGCTTTTGATGTTAATACAAAATTGTTTTTTTTTTGTTTTAAACAAAAATTTAAATAAAACAAAATAATAGCCGCTGAGCGTGCTGAACAAATATTTGGAAAAAACAACAACACAGGGTGCGCTGTTTCTATACAAAGACCATAAATATGTCACAAGTATTTTATCCGAACAGTTTATGTCTTCTCAATATACTACCTTCCATTAAGCACTTGCATTAACATATACTTTTTTTCAAGTGCGCGTCGAAACAAAAAGAATTAATATAGCACAGTGAAATAATAAAAAGAAATTCGATCTGTATAATCCCTATTCATTATTCATTTACTCATGCAAATATTATTGATTGATTGTTGTTTGCTTTACGTCCAGTTGCAAATATGTCTTGCATGTTCAGGACGAGATCAAAATAACAAAAAATTCAGTTGGCAGGTCCTGCAATAGAGGGACGACCGGGATGATGAGCGAGAAATTTGAAATGTTACTGGAAAGTGAGGATCTATTGGATAGGGCCAGAAATTTAGCATCGCAACAGGCACCAAAGAGGGTGTTGCAAGGATTCTTACGATACAGAGAGGGTGACACCCTCTATACACGAGGCATCGGGTTTAACGTCACCGTTCTGACCGGACGTGGATACGAATTTATACATCCCGCACAGTCAAACGGACGCCCCACTTTGGCCCTTAAGGGTTTAACTGCCGATCGGAAGGAAACCAAAGTGACCTATTTCTATACCCCAGTCACCCTGGGGGTACTCATGAAAATAATCAGCTCTGTATCTACAGAAAGGACGGGAAAAGACAGGACGGACAAGGATAAAACCAATGGTATAAGCATTATCAAATTACTGACAAAGGTATACAAATAATTAAAGTAAGTGAAGATATTTTCCTGAAAGATAATAATAACAATCTTCTTTCTTCAGGGTGATGATGAAGTCGTTACCTGCATAAGTTTTGGAAATAATACAAATGTCCTGAGGAGCTATAACGATGGCAAAGGGAATGTTCCAGTCGCTAATGTAACTATCTTATATTTTAAATACTTTTAAAGTTATGAAATAAAATTTGCATCCGTTATTGTTTTTTTGGCATTGAACATTTGTCTTCTAATGTTTAATATTGAATATAAATACTGTTTAACACATTTTTTCTTAGGAAGAAAATCTTATCGTATAAGTCTTTTGTATATGAACAATATTTCCAAATTCATAATGATGAATTATTTTGTAGCCTATGGCGGGATTATCGAATCATATAGTTACGATTCAAGATGGAATTTTCAGATGTAGTTTTAGAAAGAACAAAAGACTAACAAGACAAAAAAGGCAAACTTCTAGGTCTTTGTTTGTGGACTTAGACAACGACTTTAATGTTATGTTTGGCACGGGACCAGCTTCTTCAGGTACTGATTAAAATTATTTTGAATGTTTTTTTTAACTAAATGTGATGATAAAATTGTTCGATCGACTACCCTAGTACATCAGATTGAGAGAAAAATAGAATTTCAGGTTCCTATACTTTACCAGGTATAACCTATAGTATAGTATAACCTGGTAAAGTATGGGAACCTGATATTCTATGTATAGTTTAACCTGGTAAAGTATGGGAACCTGATATTCTATGTATAATAGTATAACCTGGTAAAGTATGGGAACCTGATACATAGAATATCAGGTTCCCATACTTTACCAGGTTATACTATACATAGAATATAACCTATTCAATTTGCACCTGGCTATCATTTGCATGAAAATAACTGCAAATTAATCTTTTGTATTATTCCCTCCCGCAACTCTTCTTTGAAACATAGATAAAACATGCATTTATACAATCAAATTGCATGAAGATCACAGAAATCCTTTATAGAAAAAATTCTATGAATTCAGATGAAAGTCCTTTAACTGACACTAAGTGCCAATCTGTATTGAGAAAATATAATCCTCTCTTGCTTATTTCACTTGTTGTACGTCGTACGACTAATAGTGGGTCGGAAGCTACCAATGGGTTAATAGCAGTCAAACCCATTAGGTCGAAAACGAACTGACAATACCATGTCAAAAATAGGAAGTGGTAGCTAGTCTTGTGGATTCGACGAGAACATTGAGGAGTGGATTGTGACAAGTGGAACATTTACGTAGCCACAAGCAACACAGACAACGGTCAACAAAATCAGGATGGCGTCGGTAAAACATTAGCAGAGAAGTCTCTTACCATTAACCATATGCATAAATGTGTTCTGTGTGATTTTAAGAGGTTTCAGACAGGGAGATAATTGAAAAAGTTTTGACGATGAAAGGAAATATAACGGACACATAAGTCGAGAAAAGAGATTACACTGGCTCTTAGATGATTTGATCTTTTAAACAGGCTCGATGCATTGGAAAATAAACAAACTTGAATTCATTCTATGAAACAATCAACAGTTAAGGATGCGAAATACGATGTGTATTGAAAGCTTTCAATAATCTCATCAAGTATGAATTAGGATGACATATATGATTCAAATTTTACCAAAGAAAAACTAGTCTATCCAACACCATTTTGTATGATCTATGATGCACGGTAGGGCAGAATATTTCGAAATGACCCCTTCAACTGTGCCTAATTTTAAAATATTTAACTGTTCTGGTTTTATATATTTTTTAGTATAGGATTGAATGATAACAAGGATACTTATGTTTCGAAATGATTGTTAATCGCTATATTGTTTCTATAAATACAAACAAATATGTGGCCTGGGCCTGGTCCTGGGCCTCAAAGAAGGTTATAAGTTGACCATATATACTTTGGAAACCGTTAGTTTCCAGTTTGCTGTCTTATTGGGCTTCTCTTACGAAGAATTCAAATAGTAAATATGTATTTCTTTGAAAAAACAAAGCAAACTTTATATGCAAGGCATTAGTGAAATTTAATGTTTAATCTTCAGGGTTTTTTTTTCCAAATATATAGTTATTTCATAATACTTTCTAGGAAAAACAAATTTTTCCAACTGCGATTACTCGAAGTTGAATGATAGTATATACCGATTCCATTCACAAACCTGACAATATTTCAATTATATCCATTACCATAAACACTTTATTGCAAGATCTATGTTTGCTTTTATTTCAGATTTGATTTCATTTTCAGGTAGTCGTGTATCCATACATACTGAGAACCCAGTTGTTACGCCTGGAAAGGTGGATTTTCAGTCATTTGCCGTTATAGGCGACACTGCTAAACACCCATTAGTTAAAGTTCACGGTAATGCAAGAGCTATATCATATTAACCATGTGTTAACAGTTTCTCTATATCAATGTATCAATGTGCATTTTAATTTATAGCTATAGTATGATTTGATAAAAGAGAGAGCGAAAAATAGATAAGCGCAATTTCCACATGACAATATTGTAAAGTTGATAACTTTTTTTTTTCTTTTTTTTTTTTTTAATACATGTAATTTATTTTTTTTTCATCATGGATTGACAGGCATTTACATATATTATCTATAGTGGCACATAATAAAGCAAGCAAGAAAAATAGGCATAATCAAGCAAATAAGAGTAAACAAAAATAGTAATAATAATACGATATAATATAACAGAATACAATATATATATGGACAAAGTATAACATTTTCATCAAATAATATAGTGATAATGGAAATTACATTTCAAGCACATTTATACATAATAATTCACTATTAAATTAATTAATGACTTTATCCCAGGGGTTCCAGTACATGTTATAATCTTTCGCACTCATATTTTTTGAGGAAATATGCTTTTCTAAAATTAAGTTTTCTTTGATATAGTTTTTTAAAGTTGATAACTTATTGATAATGACTCAGCTGTTCAAAGTGGTGACCGTTTACACGTTTGGTCAGGATGATAAACAATACATGGGGAAAAAACAGAGCGTTGAGAACACTTTCTTTCATTTTTTTCCTATTTTTCCCTTTTTGGGGTATAAATAAAGTTAAAGATGCAAGACCTTTATGATAGATGACCTTTTGATATTGCTTTATGATTATACTACTTTATTTTTAAAGTTAAGTTTCGGTTATGAATCTATGTTTTGTTTTACATATATTAAAGTTTGTATTCAGAGTGGAAGGTATCAGCGTACTAAACAAGAAAACATAAATTTAAAGTTTATAGTCCTAAAAGGCGTGTTTTAAAATGTTATTCAACATACAACTCTTATACTGATTTTTCCAGCATGTCTGATGATCATTGCTTGGATATTTTGTACTGGAGTTGCCATTATAGCCGCGAGGTATTACAAACCTGTATGGCCTAAATCGTCATTGTTTAACCAGAAAATATGGTTTCAGGTTTGTATATTATATTTTTCCAAAAAAAATCCCTTACAAAAACTAAATCGATTATTATATTACATATTTACATATTCAGAATCTTAAGTTTTTTGTGTATTGTATAGTGGGCTATTGCACAAGATCATGTTTTTCTCTGATTGTTAATGACGTCTTTACACTAAATCCATCGGATGTTGGATATGTACTGATTGATAGATTAGTCTTAGATGGCTTATTATTTTGATTAGTTGTTGTTGGCTTTGAACTAGCTTTCAGTAACTGCGAGTTCTCTCAGATCTGTACATTTTGTCTATAGTGTCTATCGATATGATGAGTTAAGCCCTTTTCCATGAAAATTGGTACCCACGGAAACAAATGAATCCAAAGTAATTTGATTCATTTTTAACCATAAATTTTAAAAGGATAGGAAAACTTTCTCGCCTGTATTTCTTTCAGTCACATACCGCACGATGCAGTAAAAATCGGAACGTTGTTGCAACTTTATTGGAATTTGAATATTAGAGTCTAAATAATATACTTTGATTTTAAAAAAACATTTCACATATTTACGTAAAATCAAAGCATGACTAAGTGCCATACATTGCTGTCGAATGCAATTTTGACATAATTTCGAAGATTTTACATGTTTTTTTTTATATTTTTATATAGAAGGACATTCTCAGCAAAATTAATTAATTTGCATCTGAAAGTTAATTAATTGCTTTACTTCCGATATAATATTAGTTCTGATTAAGAGTGTTATTCTTAATCATTTTCTTTTATAGATAATAAAATTTTACGAAAACCTAGTACCTTTCCCTAGCTGCCTTTATGCATTTATAATTGGTTAATATATAATAAAATGTTAAAAAAAACGGCAATTTGTTTTAATAAATCGTCCACGCGGGGAGGGGAGGGGCACTTCGACCTTTTCGTGATAGGGATAAGCAGCTGAAACACGACCTTATCAAATATCATGAAGTTGGAAAAAATACCTTTTCATCCCTATCACACATAACATAGTAAGTGTCCCCCCGTCCCCATAGATCTTACAGTACACGCATGAAGCTTTGAGCAGTGAGTTTTAGAAAAGATCAAAATATGTTTACAAAAATTACCCGTTTGAAATTCAGAGGAGTATCTAATTATACTCTTTTTAGAAAAAAAGCTGACTTTTGTTTCTTGTGTATTATTGGGTTACTGTTTCCTGACGTATTTTTATTTATATCGATAGTAAGTTATGTTGAAGATAGATATCAGTATATTCATGTGAAACCCATTTAGATCTAAAAATGTTAATTTTTACAGAGGATGACCTTCAGGTCATTCCGATGTATTGCTATCGCCTAAATTTCCATTATGCAAATTAGTTTTGGGATTTCAACCGATCTATAAAAATTATAGATCCGCGGTCATTACAAGGGAAAAAAGTGCATTTTTATACCTGCGATTCCGTTTTCCGTTCGTACGATGTTTCATCAAAAAATGGAATCATTTCAGTTGTTGATTTAGTACTGAAAATTTGACTGAATTATCTCCTTTTAAATACGGTTTTATATGTTTAATTGGTGTTTAAAAAAGAGGTCAGATGCTCATGTTCATTCTTAAAATTATCGTTCATTCATTCATGAATTTATCGTAAAATCAAAATCAATACACAAGTCACACAGGTTGTATACGTAATGTCAAATGATTACCTGTAATCTAAAAATAAACAAACTTAACTGACTCCCCTTACTATAGTGTGTGATAACATTTTGTGAGGAAATTCGATGTTTGCTATACCACTGTTCATTTCAACGCACTTTATGACGATACCACTTTATCAATATGAATGAAATTTTTTGCAGTGTTTTAAGAAATAATTTTACTTTAAAATCGCGTATCATTTGTGAACTATTAAATGTTTTACAAGGACGAATTTTCTGTATAAAGTCAATAATTGTGTGAACTTTTGAAGCCCAAACTTTTTATAGCATTAAATACGCTAATGAAAGATCCGAAAACTATACCCATACAGAACGACATGTTTTTGAAATTGTAGCAAAACTTTTGGTTGACAAATTTTAATTCGTTATTGCATAAATATTAACTTGAAATATCTGTCATTTTCTCCCTACCAAGTTTACCCCTATTACTCATTATGATGTGGACTGGACATTGTTATTGAATCTTATGCAATTTGATTGGATTAAGTTATTATTAGATTACCTTCAAACTGTTCATGCTTTTTCGTACGAGTATATCGATTAAATCAGAGCGTGCATGAATGTGTACAGTAAATTAAATGACCTGCAAACTGGACACTGGACCAGTCCATATTACGTTTTATCAATGAATAGATTTTTTTTTGTATTTTCCAAATTACAGGGCCCATAAAGGGCATAAAATCAGATACAATTGATTTACATAATTGGTAACAACAACAATAATAGCGGCATATGAATGAAACTTAAGGTATGAAAGGTAACAATTGCCACTTTTTATCTTTTCACATAATTTTCCACATACACATTAGATAAATTATTTTTGATAGCCTATTGCGGAGAAAAAAGAGAAAGTTTACTGTATTAACGTTCTATTCCATTAAATACGCCATTTTTCGCAGAAAAACATTTTATGCACGGCTACGCCAGGTAAAATTGTTGTTTATCCTAACAAAAAAATACAATTTTCAGTTTCATTAGAATATTATAATAATAATAAATCCCAAATTTATGTAGTCATTAGATCAAGTCCTTATATGTCCGATCTGCCTATTTTTGGATATCAAAAGACAATACGATCGTTTTAAGGTCAATTTCGTCTACCTCACACAATCTTGTTAGGCACTATAATGAAATGGACCTGAAATTTATTTCACATGTTTCCTGAAAATTGATAAATATCAAAGCAACATAGAGCTGTTTGTTCTAGTTCGTATAATGACAATTTAATGTCATGTTTGTTTGTGATGACCCCCCTTTTCGGGATTGCATCAGAATTATAGTTATCTCGTATCGCATAAGGATGACACATATCAACTGAGCAATTATGTTTGGGACTTAGTTTTAAGAAATGATGTCAAAGTAACATTATAAAAATATTTTTAGTAAGCTGAAATATATTTTTGTTTTTTACATGTTTATGTCTTGTAAGATATTTTATTTCTTGCCCGTTTTTCAACATTTGCGTCTGGAAAGTTGAAATGTTTTAACTGAATGGTTAATTTAAATTAATTATTAAAATTGTTAAAATTAAATCAATAAAGGAAATTATTGCCCAGTTACAAACATTACCAGGGGACAATCCATATTGATTTTTTTTTTAGTTATATGTTTCAGCACATGTATAATTAACCCCAACTTTAGCCTGGTAAACTTGTTGTCTCCTTGTGAAATATAAAACATATTTAAAATGATTTCCTGCTAAAGTCTTTTATTGATATAAAGTTAAAACCGTCTTGCTTCTCACTAGTCAACACTCCTGTCCTGTCAGGTTTAATTCTTATATATATGGATAAAAAATAAAAGTCCACAAAGCATTAACATGGCAGCAATTGCTTTTACAGCCTTTAAGGCTTTGATTTTTTTTACAGAAGAGTGTCCACCATGCACTTGCTCTGCACTATAATAATAGTAGAATAGAATGATATACAAATAGATGAAAATTATATATACATGCAACCGTAATATTAATATAATATATAACAACAAACCAGTGTATTCTCTTGAACTATTATTATATTAGTATAATAGTCTAAGGTATACTGATTTGTATCACTACAATATAATAGTTATTACGGTGAGGTTGAATTTCCTGTCATTTATTCATCATCCAAGCAGGAACTTGTATCAGAAAAAAAAATCTCTGTAAATTAACCTCAGTTTCAGGTATAGAGATGTGATCTGTTTCTGTGACATGTGCTTTTGACCATACACAAGAACCTGCGGTCATCCGATGTTCAGTACTTCAGTACTTTGATTATTGTATCACATTCAAATCCACAATATATTTCATAATTAATTTTAGTTTTCTACCTATAAAATAATTGCCTTCAAAATATTCGGTAACGAGAATTTTTTTTCAAATTAACAAAACTGCAAGTCTTGGACACACATACAAATGCATTCTAATTGTTATATTGTTTCGTTCTATTTCAGATTCATAGGACATTAATGGTTACAGCTATGACACTGACGGTTATAGCCTTTATAACTATTTTTGTTGCAGTTGACGGTTACAGTGAGGTATTTGTTTTATCACCATTTTAATAATGATTAGTTTTAATCAATATTCATTATTTAGTATAGTTTCTAGCGACGGAGGACATTTTAGCGCATTGATTAGACATTTAAGCGAGAGAAAAACATTGAACGTTTTAGCGCTAAAGTACAACCCATTTTACGCAAGATTTTTACCAATTTTAGCAAAAAATGAAATTATTTATGCCCATTTGATGCTCATGCCATATTTGTCACAGGGTTTCGTGTATATCTATGTTCAGCCTATGTGTTTATTCTGGTTTGCATAACAGCAAAATTCACATTTTTCAATCAAATTAATTTGATACAGTTATTTCAATCACCCTTTGGCTTTGTATGTTTCCATTGAAAGTCTAAGCTAAACAAAGATATCAAAAGTCAATACAATATCAAATTGCATACAAGTAATCATAACACCATTCATGCTTGATGACTTTCTCCAGTTTGTTAAGTTAAGTTAAGGTTAATGGTTGCTCAACATCCATTTTAGACAATACATAGACACAAAAATCAAAGGTATATCAGATCATTTACACCATTTTATATTGCAAACAATGTCGAAGGATTTTGTTCCTGGTAAGAAGATCTTTAAACGAAAATAACTCTTTGTAAATTTCGTTTATCCGAAGTGCTTTTCTGGATTTACCATTCATAAGGAACGTCCATACCAAACATTCGCAGGCAAACGATGTTTAAATACCCAAATACGTGATATCATTCAATAAATCCCATATTTTACTTTACTTCCAAATCGTAAAACATCGCATTGTCTGATCGGGAACACCGGAGAATCAAACATTTCTCGTTAGGTTCCAATTGGCCTATCTGACTCTGAAACTGTTAGCGTACAAGAAAGTCGACAACTGACATAGATGACAAATTATTCCTTTGGGAAATTTGAGTACACATGTGTTGTAGACGAGTGACATTTTTCAAAAAGACGCTTAGTTAACGACTTTAATGCACCCACATCGGCTATATTATATATCATTCGAAAGCTTATTATCTGTACGTTCTATTTTGCCGTCAATCATTCTTACGGTGCATTTTTTGTAAAAATCAAGGCCAAAGGTCAAGAATGGACATTCCAAAATATCACAAGAATTAAACAAAATGCTCTTTGCTGGTTCGTTTATGATATTTTTTTTTCTAAAATTCATATGGACATAATAGAACAGAATACCATAATTCCAAATTAAATGCACATTAAACTATTAATTGCGCAATATTTGCAGAAAAATGCAATTCTTAAAAAATACTTCAAAAATGATAAATTTAAAATATTCAAAGCAAAATATTTCTTCAATATTTGTATGTCAAATTTAAACGAATTTATCGTTTATAGGTGAAAGGATTTTTTTTTTGTCATTTTAAACTGAAATCAGTATCATATTGGTCAGGAATCAGCCTTCTAAGGAAGCTTTTGCAGTTGCCCTAAAAATAGGAATCATTTTGCTTTTCGTTGTTTACATAACACATCGATTGTCGTCAAAATCAGAACAAAATATTCCATATTTTAAAAAAATGAAAGTGCTTACGGAGTATAAGGTATATACAGTAAAAAGATGTTTTTTTTTCTATTTCCAAAGTGGAAAACATATTAGTTGTTTTATCAATAATGACAGAAAATTGATAGCGTGGAAGATTGATTACCCTTCCTGAGCAACTTCATTCACCACCGGTTTAATGTAGTGTTCGTACATTTAGGTGTAGTGTTTTGATGACTGTTGTTTGTTTGTCCGACTTTTATCACTTTATTCATGGTGTTATATGTTTGTTTATCGGAAATGTAGGAATCATCTTGTCCATACACTCATTTGTGTTTGTTCTTTCAATTCATATGTACATCCATTAGTATAAAAAAAAAACTTGTAATGATCAATATTCCTCCGACGTCAATTTGAGTGAAGACCGAAGGTTTGAAGTGCACATATGGAGATTGTACATGAAGGGATTTGATTCATGATAAACACATTCAAATAGACTTAATAGCAAGCAATTAGAATTCCCCATAACAAGCCTGCTTTTAAGTTATCTCATTTTAAAGCTTGTTTTTCTCACATTTAAACATACCATTTTGTATGGGTTTTATATCAACTAATATCAGAAATTTACTGCAGTTATGAGATCTTCGCACCATTAGAAAACCAAACGAACAGATTATAGCTTGCAAAGCATTGGAATGTAAAAAATAGAAAAGATTTTACTTATTCATGTTATTGTTTGGATAAAGTTTTATGGGTTTTCTTTATAATGTAGTTTTGAAAAAAGACAATACTTCAAACCAATTAAATTTGGCAACCAATTTATTTACCTGACTTTTGTGATAGAAAAATACCGCTAATAGAATTAACCTAGTTCTTCTCTAGTAAGAAAATAAAGTATGAAAATCGCCAAGTAATCGCTGCCAGGTCAACAACAGAGGGCTTAACGCAGCAATATGAAAAGTGCTAAGGTTGCCTACTTTTACAAAACGTTCTTGGTGATGATTGGTTAAATTGTTGGTGTGACACCTACACAGTAATTTATTTCGTTAAAGCTTTTTATTCTAAATGTAAATTTTTTTTCTGTTTAGAAAGTCTGATTATAACTTTATAACTATAATTGTTGCGAATTGCTGGAATGTTCAAAAAAAAAAAAGATATAGACTGTAAGTTGATGTAAATAAACTACTCATAAATCCTCAGGATTACAATGTTTTACACCAGACGCACGTTTCGTCTACGAAGACTCACTTGTGACGGTCGAATCAAAAACTGTAAAAAGGCCAAATAAAGCACGAAGTTGAGGAGCATTGAGTGCCACACTTTCCGAAAGGTTTCGTCAAATACAGCTAAGGTTATCTATTCTTGAAGTAGAAAATCTGTAGTATTTCGAAAAATGCATTGTATTGCGTTCGCGCAAAATCTCCCACTCAGTTGTCATAGCTGAGGGGGAGATTTTCCTCTTTGAAAGTTTCAGAGGATGGCAGGTATGGACTACTGAGCTGGTGATACCCTCATGGAGGAACCTCCACCAGCAGTGGAATCGACCTAATGGTCGTAAAAAAACTCATCATAGATACCAGACTGAAATTGTGTACGCCAGACGCGCGTTTTGGCTTCAAAAGACGCAATAGTGACGCTCGAATAAAAAAAGTTAAACGGCCAAAGAAGTAGGAAGTTGAAGAGTATTAAGGACCCAAAATTTCGAAAAGTAACTGCAACATGTAAATTTTATACAAGAAAATTACATATTTGGACAAGGTTTCCTACCTCGGACTGGCACACAGAACATTTTCAGTGTCTAGAATACAATATTTTCCCCTTCATTTGTCAATGCACGATGCTGTTGAAGCAACCAAGAAAAACAAATTCTAATTTTGTTAGTAGAGAAATATTTGAAATTCAACTTTTCATTAATCAACCTACTTACTATTTAATTATCTATTTATGTATTTATTTTTTGAGGGCTAGCTTAATATTTATACATAAAGTACTTTATTTCTTTTAATGATAATCACAAAATTACAAACAAACCAAAAAAAGAAAGAAGAGTTTTTAACAGGCTGGCAGTTAAACTACATATTGAAATATCAATTTAAGCTCCCTAAATCCCCTTCAAAAGCACGAATCCCGGGTGTTATTTTTGGCAAACATTTTTGCATATTTTCTAAATGTCTTTCTTCAATCTAATATTGACTATATACAATTTTTTTAAAGTACAACGTTAACAGCTTAAAAGCTATCTATTTGCAGATGGCGGTATTTTGGGCAACTGTGTTGTTTGTTATAATTGGCTGTGTAATTAGCATGAAATATGATTGCAGTAATTTGATGATGTAAAAAACGTCCTTAGCACTAAATGAAATATGTTATTTAGCTTTATGGTGATTAACAATTGAATCACTGACAAATATTTTGTTTTTCACTCATTATTTATCATTTTAACTGGAATTTCTGGAAAACATATTAAAAATACGTCATTGATATCTTATAGTGCGTTTGACAATTGTATAACAGTCGCTGTTCTAAAAGTTTTTTTCATATTTCCACACATGATTTTAGTATTTAGTAGACAGAATTTGCAAAAATGCTGACGTCTAGTGAAATAAGAAATTGTCCGTTCTTGACCTTTCATCGTGAAAAAAAGGAATTGCACCGTACGAATATTTAACGACCGGACAAAAAAGAACTCACAGATGATATGCTTTCGAATGGTATATAATTTAGCCGCATGTTTGAAATTTTATGGTTAATGTCACTCGACTATTGAAGGGACGAAAGCGAACTTTATACGTGTTTTTTTTTTAATAATTTGTAGGTCTCTGCACGTCTGCAAGACATAAACAAATGTCGTAATATAGTTTGATCTTTGCAGGTGTATGCAAGACCAGGAAAAGAATATCTCCCAGCACATCCAGTATTAGGAATTATAGTTACCATATTGTGCATTTTGAATGTAGGTACAATATAAAGTTTTCTTCTTTATAAAAAGCTTGTTCCGCTTTATTTAACCTTGTAATGGCTGAAAGTCAATTGTTAATTGTTATTTATTAACGAAACCTGGTGGTAAACTCTGAGCATCTGTATTACAAAATACAGTGTATATAGAAACAGTCAACTAAATCATGATCACGACTGTAAAACTTTCGCAGAAATGACTCAAAATTTAACATTAAGAACCATTGGTTCAATAGATTCCTCATTAGAAGCAAACTTCCATCATGAAATTTATGATAGAAAATACAATACCCTACATAGCGTATCAAATAGGAGATATATATGAGGAATGTTACTGCATACATTAGGCAAGTTCACAAGGCTAAAATAAAATCAGCTCTTTTGTCGTGAAGTTAATGTCAAGTATGTAGTTGGAGGAAAATGCTAGCTTTTGATTATTCTTCAATAGAAATCCACCCCTGCAAGAGATTTGCCTCGTACCAATAAAGGAACAAATTAGTGATAAAGCATTGCCAATCCTAAAGTTCAATTATTTTGTATAAAAAAGCATTTGTCGTTTACAGATAAATTCTAGCTGCATTTTTGTAGTACAAAAACTTAAATAGTTTACCAAAATTATACGAAGAACTAAATATCGAGGAAAAATTAAAACGAAATGCATATTTGTTGCCGTTTTCTCTTATTTAACGGATAATCGTTATATATCGGATGGGAAATAACTCGTCTAAAAAGTTTTAGATCGATAGTCAGAAGTTTATAAATAATATTCTTCTAAGGACCGTATGCTAAAAATTTCACTTGTTATCTTGTTCTTCTGTTAATTACGTCGTATTGCTATTATGTTCTGTAACTGTTCAGCTATTGTCAACACACAAATCATCAAATATCTTTTCTGTTTTAATTGATCCCCTTCTCAAATAAAGGAGTGCTATTTATTATAATAAACTGTTATTTGTGTGGATTTTTTTTTTGCAGCCAATTATGTCATTGTTTCGTCCAGGTCCAACAGATAAAAATCGCCCAATATTCAACTGGGCTCATTGGGGAGTCGGAATGGTTGCCCAGATTCTAGCAAGTAAGTTGTTTGTCTACATTATGATTTTAAAATAAGATGAAAACTTAAGACTTTAGATAAACAGATAGTGTTCTTATTATTAATGTGTGTTGGTTATATTTGCTAGCTGATCTGTAGTAATTTTTATTCATCACGTTAAATTTAATTTAGATTCATTTTACTTTTTACAGTTATAACAATAGTTTTTGGAGTAGAATTACAAAAGACATCGTGCCTTCCTAATACATCTAGACAGAAACTGAATAATTAAGAAATGTAATTGTAATTGAAATATCTTTTTTACAGTTATAACAATAATTTTTGGAGTAGACTTACAAAAGTCTACAGCACCAAAGTATACAGTATGGGTAGTTGTTGGCTTTGTTATCTACTATGTCATTATGGAGGTTACTCAGAAAATCGTGGACAGACTATTTAACAGTAAAGTAGATAAAGGTACAGTCATTCAATCTTCATAGATATTAAGAAATTTTATCTTATTAATAAAAAGTAAATAGTCAATGGTAAAATATTAATAATTCTACATTTATCAATTAATCTTGGTTGCTTTAGTTTAAGTTGCAAGTATTTCATGCATAATTAGGACTGGCAACAAAAAAAGAAAGTAACTTAGTAAGAAAAATTTTTAAAATGCTAATATAATTAAATTGATAGATGTTTGCAGCTCAAAACGTCAAAGTTGAAATGACACTCAATGGTTCTCGAAGGAGTTCATATAATTTATCTCTACCAAAGTTGGATGATAAAAACAAGGAAACCATCCAGGTAATTATTATAAAAAAAACAAAGAAAATCAACGTTGTGATTAAAATCATAGTAATGAGAATACATAGATATCGCTTAAAGTCATATGATACTTCAAATCTAAAAAAAAAAGTTGAATATGTTTGATATACTTGAATGGCTAAGTTTTACTATAAAACAAGTGTACGTGGACTTTCTCGTAAAAGAAAATCCTTTATCTTATCAAAATCTTCAGTAATATACTATTGAAATTTTGTTCTTCCTGAACTCTAATTCGCCGATATTTTTCCGTATGCGCGCAGTTACCTTAACTATGAGACCTCTCGTTAGAACTTCGACCACCTCACAGTACAAGTGCGAGGGGAAAACCGTAATGAAGGAATGTAAACAAACATGCACTGGAAGGTAACAGTAAAACTTGATATTCTTAAAGAACAAATGAAATACACCAAACCATTTGACAGCTGTTAAGGAAAAGTTGAATATACAAATCAGAACGCATGGAAAATATCAAAAACAATTAACATCGCTCTATCAATTCACTTATTTTTCACGTGCTCCATGATACTGTGTTGGTTGTTTATCAATGTCACGGTTCGGTAAAAACTTCGGCAACAAACACCAAAGTTGATTAGCTTGCGATCGACAATCACTGAATGGAATATTATTTGTCGATAATACGTTATAGATTTATAATAGATGAAAAAACGTGCATAGTCATTTGATACTTCATGTCTGTCATATTTGTTTTTCGTACATTGTTTTGTTATAAATTAGGCCGTTAGTTTTCTCAAGTGAATTGTTTCGTATTTTTCATGTCTAGGCCTTTTATAGCTGACTATACTATATGAGTTTTTCTCATTGCTGAAGGCCGTTCGGTTGCCTATAATTGCTTACATCCACTTCATTTGAATTTTGGTGGCTAGTTGTCTCATTGGTAATCATACAAATTCTCCTTATTTTAGATAGAGGAGTTAGTTTAGTATATATATATACATGCAATGGTTCAATAATTTCCATATCATTATAATAACAAGAAACTCGTTTTATATGACTTTAAATATTGGAATGGGTTTGAACATTGTCTTTTGGATATTTTAATTATTGTGGGAATACAGCTAAACTGATATTAAAACGGCGCCTATAAATACTAAGTTGTATAATGCATGTATTTGTTTCTCCTTAAAAATGATATATTAACAATTTGTTACAAAAAGTATTTATGAAACACATATTTTGACACGTTTAACTCAATTATATTTCAGGTTACCTTGATGAAAAAATGTCTGCTTGCATTACATATAGTGTGTACTTTGGCGTTCACCTTAGCACTTCTGTTGTTGGTGTCTTTGTATTAATAGTCAACTATTTTCTCTAAGGAGGGATATAAAATTATATATGTGTATACACATTGATTATTTTTTTAATTGATTATAAGAAAAATAATCGTATGACAATGAATTGTTTATGATACTATAGGATGACTTTTATAATATCCTTTTCGAAAAACAACAAGATTTGTCTTGCTCTTTTTGAAGTTCATGCGATTTTGTTTGTTACCTTGATGTGTCTCTTCACAAATGAATTACGAGAATTGAACATCGGTAAACTCACTGTTGCCTTAATTTACTTCTATGTGCCTTGAATAACAGTATGCAGTATGTTGTGTAATTTGTCTAGTAAATGCTGTAACACGTTCGACAATTTTTAAAGATGACATTATTATCAGAGAATAAAATCAAATATATTAAAAATTCCTTCGTTGACAAAACATCATAATCAAATTCAACGGAAATAGCTTAAATTCTATCTTTGATAAAACAAAAACAGTAAAGGAGACAAAGGTTTAAAAAGAAGATTATCAAACGCATCAGACTGCACTTCTCCGCATCGTACACGAAGACGCACTGAAGAACATAAAGTTTTAACGATAGATACAAATTTATTTCTTTTGCCATTATTCAACATTTTGTATATGTATATTAAAATCCCTCTTTTTAGCTTATCAATGGGCCTTGCGAAAGTCCACGAAGGCACAGAATAGCTTTAGTTTGTATTCTGATACATGCATTATAATTTCATGCAAGTTAAAAAAAATCTCTCAGGAAGAATGAAAAGAAGCTAGCATTATCCTTCATTAGAAATATTGTATGAAACTATCCGTTCAGCTATATAGATCATGTTCTCTTGCTTAATGATTCAAATTTTGGTGACTCTGTTGAACGCATCTATCCCAACGAACTTGAAATAAATGATACTACAGATACAGTTAAGTCTCATATCTTGACTTACATCTAGAAATTAACAATGACGGTTGGTTGAAATCTAAACTTAATGACAAAAGGGCTGATTTCAGCTTTCCAATTGTGAACTGTAAATTTATATGTAGCAACATTCAAGCAGCGCCTGCATATGGAGTACAAGTATATATCTCTTAGTGGCTGCGATATTCCAGAGCTTGCGTTTTCTATACTGATTGCCTTGATAGAGTGTTGCAGCTTATAAGGAAGATATTGAACCAATGGTTCCAAATGGTAAAGTTAAAAACATCCTTTCGAAAGTTTTACGGACGCCATTAGCTAAGCCTTCCAGAGTACCCGAGATCCCCTATTTAGATGGGATTCGTGTTGCTCCGTCTTTAGTGTTATGTCTACTGTTTTATGGAAAAAAAGTATTGAGAAAAATTACCGAACACCAAGGTAAATTCAAAAAGGGTAAGTCCATAAAACCTGACATACTCAAACTCTTTACTATATCAAACAACGGAACGAATGTAAAACAACTGTCATATTCCTGACTTGGTACAGGCATTTTCCGAAGAAAAGGGTTGGTTAAGTCTATATTTTATAGCTAACTAAACCTCCTTCTTGTATAACAGTTGTTTAACTGTTTTGCTTTTTGTCGTCTTTCGATTTTTTGCAAAAGCATTGTCAATAAAACCCGAAAATAATGTTGAAGTTGAAGAGCATTGTCAGTTTATCTCGAATTTTGAGTTTTGAAAGTGCCCTTTGTATGTTCCGCCTATTTTATCTAACTTCTAGTAATACTATCGGTCTGTCCGACAAAAAAACAGGGATAACTGTACAATGGGTCCAATTATCTGGATATGTTCCAATGTCAAACATAGAATTGAAAAGACTTTTTAAAAATAGGCTAAAATCAAAGTAGATATTTCACAGCTTACGTTTCTGTATAACTTTTATTATTTCATCTTCGGAATTTAGAAATTAGAATTTAGAAATCTAGAATATAAATGCTGATGTCACAGAAGTCATTGTTGTTTAACAAATCTATGACTTTATTACAGAGTTCTTGTGGGGTTGATCCCACATCTTTTAGAAATTGCTCATCATCTTATAATTTTCAACTAAACATTTTGATGTGTTTTTCGGTTTTACAGCTGTCCAGAATTTTTCTAGGTTTCCTTTTTGAAATATTACAAAGTTCAAGACCTTTTCTTAGTTTGAAATTGAGAATGGAAATGGGGAATGTGTCAAAGAGACAACAACCCGACCAAAGAGCAGAAAACAGTCGAAGGCCACCAATGGGTCTTCAACACAGCGAGAAAATCCCGCACCCGGAGTCGGGCTTCAGCTGGCCCCTAAACAAAAATGTGTACTAGTTCAGTGAAAATGGACGTCATTCTAAACTCCAAAACATATAATTGAACTAAAATTAAAAATCATACAAGACTAACAAAGGCCAGAGGCTCCTGACTTGGGACAGGCGCAAAAATCCGGCGGGGTTAAACATGTTTTGTGAGATCTCAACCCTCCCCCTATGCCTCTAGCCAATGTAGAAAAAACAACCACACAGCAATACGCACAGTAAAACTCAGTTTAAAAGAAGTCCAAGTCCGATGTCAGAAAAGGTAACAAAAGAAACTAAGCAAAATGACAATGATACATAAATTAACAAAGGACTACTAGCAGTACTGATATGCCGGCTCCAGACCTCAATTAAACTAATTGAAAGGTTATGTCTTCATCATATGAAAATCAAGCACAATCCCTCCCGTTAGGGGTTTAGTATCATACCATCATAAAATATATGAGAAGAACATAACACGTATCATGCCAACAACTGGTTTTGGAATAAATGTGTTTATTTCCGATGCAAAACCCTATGAGTGAATCAATATTAATACCAAAATATGCCATCTTTAATGACCTGACAACAGTATCGTAACTATATCCCCTCTGAATAAGTCTGTTTAAAGGTTTGGTTAGCTTTTGAGGTGAATGCCGACATTTTTGTGCTTTGTAAAGAATATTACCATAAAAGATTGGATGTGAAATACCTGAACGTATAAGATGTCTGCATGTTGATTTATATTTACGAATGATGTCCTTGTACCGATGATAAAATTTAGTAAATGTTTTGACTAGTTTGTGGTATCGAAAAACCTGGTGTAATAATTTTTCAGTAATACAGAGATTTCTTTCGGTAAAATCAAATACGTTGTTACATACACGAGCGAATCGAACAAGTTGAGATATATAAACACCATAAGATGGTGACAAGGGAACGTCACCCTCTAAAAATGGATAATTAACAATATGAAATAAATAATCATCTCTTTTATCATAAATTTTGGTATTAAGCTTCCCGTTAAAGATATAGATATCAAGATCCAGGAAAGGGCAGTGTTCATTGTTAGTATTAGCTTTATTTAAAGTCAGTTCAGCAGGATAAATCTCTTCAGTGTACATAC